TGACAACGCCACTCGGCGGGTGACTGCGAGCTTACTGCGCTCCACGCCCGAGCGGCTCGCAGGTCGCAGGGGGCTTGTGTCTACGTACTCACTTGATGTATCAAAAACTTCTTACTTATAAATTATTACCACCGTTATTGATGCGGATGTTATGTTTTTTTTTTATAGATTATGGATATAAACGAGCACACAGTCCACCGGATTTTAAGTGGATACTGTGGCTACTACTGTGAATGCCTTGTATCCAGTAAAGATTCTCCTGTTCTCTACACTCACCAAACGAAACATTGCAGAATTAGAAAACTAGTGGCGACGTAAAAGAGTGACTGTCAGCTACGTCATACGGCCAGCAGTGGTAGACCACGTTTCAGTTCCGTAACTCATCACTGGCAGGCATTGGTTGTAGTATACAAAAACCAAATTCAAAATAGTTTGGTAGTGATCACCATTAGACCTCCTTATTATAAATACATCCTTAATATACAACTTTAGGACACTAATAAAGAGTATGTATTTGCAGCTGCACGCCAAATGCACCGCTATGCTGCACGCTCATTACTGAACTTCTTTATCAGATACATTACATGCTACACGGCTAGGTGAGTACCCTGTGTTACAGAGCATCTTTTCCCCTTTCTATGTCACGGCGGACTCCGTGGTTACAAGGGCTGTCAATAAAGAGTAAAAAAAATTTATTGCGTAATGTTTTTAACCGGTTCAGTGCGGATGGCACGCCAGGCGTGCCATCCTTTTGTGTGTGGCGTATGACACGCGATTCGTATCTTTTTAAAAATCGTTATAACTCGCTCAAGTTTGCGTTTTTGGAAGATTTATCCAGAACAAAATATTCATTATTTTGCAAGTAGTTCATGCCTACAGCTTCGTTTCTGGATATTTTGAAAATATGAAATTTTTAGGGGTTGACAACCTTTTTTTAACTTGTACATGGTACTCTTTTTACTTTGTGGATTTCAAATCATATTGTGGAAAAATAGTCTAATAAGTAACAAATAATAGAACTCATTGCAATCGCCCATAAACTCAAGTTGTAAATAAATTTCTGGAAAACAAGTCTCCTGTAAAAAAAAAACAATACGTTTGTCTTATTGTTTAATTTTGCTTAAAATGGTCGAACTGCCGTCTTATTACTATCATATGGCCGAATAGATCTACAAAGTACCATGTGCTCTTGTGATATGGTGTAAGGTTTAATTTTGCTTGAAACAGTTCGAAACCGTTCATGCATAAAAAATGCAAAATATTAATGAAAAACCTTATTTTTTCCCAAATTAAGGTACTTGATTGTTTATATTTACAAATGTTATTATTAGGTGAAAAATTTAATTTAATAAAAACCAAGGTGTTACAGGGAGATTTAGCTGTATCTACTTACATAAATGTTTTTTTTATAAAACAAAAATAGTACAAAAGGTTTGTAATCTCTGCATTAAAAAAGTCACTTACCCTCAATTTCAAAGAAAATACGTAGAAAAACACGTAGTTACCCACTAAAAACAAGTATCCTTCCGTTTGTAACTGTTGTTTGATGTCAACTAAACTTAATTAGGTCTATACAAGTGAAAAAAAGCATAAAAAAGAACATTACTTTTACACATGGCTGATGGCACAATACGTCATACACAAACGTCTGTGGCGCTTGACACGCCAGGCGTGTCACGAAATATTTGTTCGCCGCCACAGCTAAAAGTTGTCGAAAATCGATGCCGCAACGAATTGGTTTAAGGAACTTAGGTAAAGTACCTATTCTGCCTATGATCGACTGACCATATTTTCGCTACTATAAGAGTTCTGTGATGCGCAACGCATTCAACTTGCAACTTACAAGGCCATTCGTTGGGAATCGCGGTGCTTGGCTCTGAAGAAATAGGTAGATAGTGTAAACAACAAATAAACCCGAAATTATAACTTAAAATATTTTAATTACAAAAGACAAGTAAGCATCCATCCCCGCAACAATTATAGTACGAACGACGTTTTGCCAATATAATTTATCAAATGGATACCTAGGTAATATACATATATTATTCTTAAATTACATTAAAGCTATTTTATTCTTGAATTAAATATACTACTAAATTTATACGTGGTAGAGCCATGCTGCAGCTATATAAATTAGTAGTATAGTTGTAGCACGAATGGGTCGGCTCGACCGGGGAAGGACCATGCTCTCACAGAATACCAGCGTAAAGTAGCAGCTTAACACTGCTGTGTTACGTATGATGAGTGTAGAGAACCGGAGACACTTTTTACTGGAAAAGAGGCATTCCATCTTAGTTCTCACGGGTGACAACGCATCTGCATTTTGTTTCGCAGACGAGGATAAATGTAGATGTCTATGGGCCACAGCAGCCACTTACCATCAGGTGGACTGTGTACTCGTTTGTCACCTTATCCTATAAAAAAAACTTAACACGAAACAAAAACTATTTCGACGAGTATTTCAACAAGTATTTACAAAATACCTACTATTTAAGTAAACAGCGTTAAAAAACTAACATTCAATCGCCTAGAATGCGATAGCCTCGACTGTGAATATAGGCTCGGGGCGCCTCGCGATTGTAGGTAATTATTTCACGCAGGTAGCAAGAGTGACAGAGAGGCCTGACACGGTCTACATGATGGTAAGTGGTTGCTGTGGCCCATAGACATCTACATCTATTCTCCTCACCTATCTCTCTCACGAGTCTCCGGTTCTCTACACTCACCATACGAAACACAGCAGCACTAAGCTGCTATTTTATAAGAGCGTGTTCCTCCCCCGGTGGAGCCGACCCATTCGTGCTACAACTATACTACTGATATAGCTGCAGTGTGGATCTACTACGTAAGAATATTTTTTTTACGTGGTATGGCAATGCTTTATGATAAATTATTTCATTTTACTAGCCCACACTAAAAAAATAGAATTCGACAAATTTATGCGACTCCTTACCGATTGTGAACCAATTTTGATGTTTATTTTTATTAAATGGTTTATACATCAGGGATGGTCTCATAGTATGAATTTGGAAAGAAAAATATTCGTATGCTTTGCTTTAAAGGTATGACGTTTCATCGGAGCTGTTACAACTAAATAGTCGCCGATTCACTGTTTAGTATAGCGTATATACTCATCCTAATATATGATAATAGAAACAGAAACTTTTTTATTCAATATAGATTATAAACAATACTTTTTTATAATCTATATTGAATAATACTTTATTTTTAAATAACAGCTTACAATCATGTATGTTACACAATTAACCGGTTCAGGGCGGGTGACACGCCAGGCGTGCCATCATCGAAGATCGATCGACTTTTGTGTGTCGTATCTTTTTAAAAATCGTTTTAACTCGCTCAAATTGCTTTTTTGGAAAATTTATCCAGAACAAAATATTCATTATTTTGCGAGTAGTTCATCTTCGTTTCTGGATATTTTGAAAATTTTAAATTTTTAGGGGTTGACAACCTTTTTTTAACGTGTACACGGTACTATTTTTACTTGTGGGTTATAAATCATGTTATGGAAAAATTGTCCAATAAGTAACAAATAATAGCACTCATTGCAATCGCTCACAAACTCAAGTTGTAAATAAATTTCTGGAAAACAAGTCTCCTGTTAAAAAAAACAATGCGTTTGTCTTATTGTTTAATTTTGCTTAAAATGGTTGAACTGCCGTCTTATTACTATCATATGGCCGAATAGACCTACGAAGTACCATGTGCTCTTGTGATATGGTATAAGGTTTATTTTTGCTTGAAACAGTTCGAAACCGTTCATGCATAAAAAAAGTTCGCTAATAAATAGTCTTTTGTCAATCCGCCGCCGTATAGCGCCGGCGTTTTTTTCCTTTTGAAAACACTTGTTTTGCTATTCTTACTAATTAGACGTTTTTCCAGATCGACTTTACGTTTACATTTGTATAACATTAAATAATATTTAACATTTGTAAATATCAATGAATGATATACCTTATTTTTTTTTCAAATTAATTAAGGTTCTTCATTGTTTAATATATACAAATGTTATTATTAGGTGAAAATTTAATTTAATAGCTTAGCTAGTTAGCTGTACCTACTTATATAAATGATTTTTTATAACAACAAAAAATAGTACAAAATGTTTGTAATCTCTTCATAAAAAAAGTCACTTACTCTCAATTTCAAGGAAAATGTGTAAAAAAACACGTAGTTACCCACTAAAAACAAGTATCCTTCCATTTGTATCTTATGTTTGATGTCAAATAAACTTAATTAGGTCTAAACAAGTAAAAAAAGCATAAAAAAGAACATTACTTTTACACATGGCGGATCTCCGCTCTTTAGTGATTTATGCTAGAATTTGCCGGAAGATAAGTCTCATTTTCTGCGTAGGAGTCCATCTGAGTAGGTACCACTCTCTTAACCATTTATGTTCCGGTCTGAATTGCCAGTATAATTATAGCTTGTAAGTCATTCCATCTTAGCCCTTAGAGGTGACAATGCATCTTGATGTTGGCAGTAGCCATTTAACATTAGATATACTATAAGTTTGTCTATTCAGGTATATAAAAGAAATAGAGACGGGACCGATCTTGGGCCGCGGACTTGTTCACAAGTTCCGCATTATGCTTGAAATGAAAATGCGTTAGATGTGTGACGTTCTGAGACGAGACTATACGTAACGAATACATCCAGGGCAGTATTGGAGTACGTTACGTGGCCAAGAAATTTCAGAAATGTCTCAGGTGGTACGGACGGGTCCTACGTAAGGTGGTAGAGAGTATGTGGGAATGAGTTACCTTGATACCGTTGTTGTAAAAGGAAAAGCGAAGGCAGACTGGCAGTAGCCGGGAGAGAAGAAGACAGCTTTCAGCGTTGGCAAAACATTGAAACTCAATTTTGTATGATAAAATTTACATTTATTTTTTTTCAATTCACAATTAACATGACTTTAACTAAAAAGGCCAGGCAAATATGAGCACTTATGGAAATTTATGATAACAGAAATATAAAATTTATGACGATAGCCACCTAGAGACCAGTCTTCTTGCTGCTTGTTGGGCGCGAGTCATCCTAATGGTATCTGTGCTTAACCAGCCCTGCAAGTCGAAGCAATGTGATGCCCTAAAAACAATAAAAAATAAACCAATTCTAACTCAGTTACTTTATGTATCTAATCTTTATTAAGCCCCGACGAAAAGAGAGTGTTATTAGTTTGTAGTGTGTGTCTGTCTGTGGCATCATAGCTCCAGAACTGATGACCTGATTTTAATTATTATCGTTTGAAAAGTGTCTTAATCGAAAGTGTTCTTAGCTGTTTCAAGAAAATCTGTTCAGCCGTTTGAAGATCATCAGCTCTTTGTTTCAGTTTTTTTTTTAATATAGGTACAAGATTGATAATGTTATGCTTTTTAAAAATGGCATTTTACTCTGCACTAATACATATGATATAAACAATCTATTCTGTTGAGAATGTAGTTACAACGTTATTTGTAATAAATTAAATTGAGTTAAAAATCCGAATACGGTGATACGTATCGGTGCTGCACTCAACCTATTTCCCAGAGCATTCATGAAAAGGCCTATATCTAAACTCTGCAACGAAGTTAGAAAGGCCTTTGTAGAAGAATGCTAAATAATCTCTAAAATAGAGTATGATTTGTGCACTGTTAAAAATATTCCACTCAATAAGAATCTAAAGTTTTGAGACTAGATTATAACTTAAAAATTCTCAAAAATTCAGGCTTCTTTCAACTTCGAACTATTTGCTTACACGCTTGGCAGGCGAATTGATGGTGGTGTTGATACCTTAAATTAGTAATGTAAATTGCATAACCTCTTCGTGTCTTATGGTTTGTGGTATTTTCGGCATTTTCAAAAGGAAATACTTCTATTTCAGGTAGGTATCCAACTCATACTCATAGCTTTTAGTTGGTAGGTATCTAATGCAGTTCTCTATCTCTTCGTGGCTTGTGGTATTTGTGTCCGGCATTTTGAAAATGAAATAACGCCACTTCAAGTATCTAGTCACCAGCTCATACTCATAGCTTTTAGTTACCAAAAATACAGTAAGATAACGTTTTCGATTCCATTATTATGTAATTGAAAAATTATAGATTAATCGACAAATTTACCTAGGAATGGTGTAAGTGGGAGAGCCTTCTTTCAAATCCTCATCATAAACACCAAGTGCGTGCCACGGATCGATCATTCCATGGATATTAATAGTGTTGTTCACATCGGGCTTTAAACCGCCAAATATCAGGTTTACGCGATCCACAGCGTCGTATACAAATTTTTCATCAAACCTAAAAAATAAAAACCACATAAGGTTCTCGTACATAATGTGACTAAAACACCCTATTAATACATAATTTTGAGACCATATTTTAAAGGTGATGCCGTCAAAGTGCGTCCGACCTACCTACAATCATGAAGCGTTGGAGTATCGAAAAGTCCATTTAAAGAAAATGCTCTAATACTAATGACTATTTATTTATTTAATCACAACGGGTTTTAATCCAATTACAGTAATTAAAAATTTCGAAAGACACTTGAAAATAAACTATGCTAAGAGAAGAAATACAAATTATACCTATATCATTACTTTCACAAAATCGTCAACAAGCTGACAACAGCACATTCTAACTATCCGCAATATATCAAAGTCGGGTGATCATCAATAATCAAAAACTTGTACCTATAGCATAAAATATAAATATATTTGCCTTGTGGTGCCGTAGTAAGAGAATCCATCTCACCATTTTGTCCCATGGATGTCGTTAGAGATGGCTTAATAGTGCCTAATAGTAAGTACCTATATAAAGTCCTAAAGGTTCCGTAGATGGTTTTATAATATACCCATCTCGTTGACGACAAAAATAAAACCGCCAACTTTCTGAATCCGGGCTGCTACCAAGAATTTTTCTGTAAAAGCAAATAAATAAATAAAAAGTAAAAACCCAATAGCTGCGTTTGGGCCGAACCGGGTTTTTTGCACCTAATTAGCATTTAATTCCTTGCTATTAATATTTATATCTAACTAGTTGATCCGGCGAACTTTGTACCGCCTAACAGTCGATTCTTTAATTTTTTTTTTAAATACTTATTCCGCTATTCGGGGCACCGGGTCAGCTAGTAAGATAAAAAAGAAAAAGAAAGTTGATAAGTCAACAATTACATTATGTCAAAAAATAAAAATTATAAAACACTTAAAATTCTTTTAATAGTCACTAAAAATCACAATGAAAATTACAATTTCTGATTTCTTATTATGATACCTACTTATTATATTTCATTTAATTTTTACTTATTCTATATTAAGTTTCCATCGTATAAATATTGACGAATATTTATACGATACCATACGATACGATATGATATTTATACGATACTAACGTCACTCAATCGTTTTACCTTCCCGGAACCTCCACTAACACTTAAACTTTATGGTATGGTATTAAAGTTCAAATTGACTTTTAAGTATTATTACGAATCTTTTGTATGGGAATATAGAAAAGTTTTGTTTTTAGACTTTTTCAGGCAATTTTTTAAATTTTTCTCTCTGTGGGAACCATCTTCGTACTTCAAGAAATATTATAAAAAAAGAATTAGTGAAATCGGTTCAGCTGCTCTCGAGATTTGCGCTTAGCAACACATTCAGCGATTCATTTTTATATTATAGAAATAACTTCATTGCGTTGCTAGCGATACGTTTTGCTAGCAACGCAAATTTTAACATTTCGTTGCGGTGAAAATTTTAGTGTAGGTCATCCAAAGAGGTAATAAGTTTCTGACTTGTCTATACATATAATAAATCTGTAGAAAAGTCGTGTCTGTAATAATTCTAATATATTCTTGAAAAAACAAGTCCAGGGGATTAAATAAAGGGTTCTGAAGCCAAATTAGTGGTTTTTAGAATTTTTATCTGTCTGTCTGTCTGTCTTTCTATCTGTCTGTCTGTCTGTCTGTCTGTCTGTGTATTCCGGATTCACGCAAAAACTACTGAACCGATTTACATGAAATTTTGTATGTAGGTAGTCAGTAACCCAGGGCAACTTATAGGCTATTTTTTATCCGATTACGGAACTTCAAAAAAGGATGGTTAAGTATATTATTTTCCTTTAGATGTTAATTTTCTGATGTATCTTAGTTATAGGCGTAATGACGGGTGTTTTTGAAATAAATACCATATTACCACATTTGTAAATAAAGTTTAAAATATAGTTATAATCTTGGTAAAATAATTTGAAACTACACCGATTTCGTATTCAAAACAGCGCCATCTATCATCAAATGGAAAAAATGTATATTTTGCCTTCAGTTAGTAATAAATGAAATAATATAAATAACTTACATTTATATGATTAAATTATTAGATTTTTAAAATTATTAAAAAATTGTAACGTTCAGTTTTTTAGTATTTTTGTTAATAAAGTGTAATAATTTCAATAGATAATAGTGACGTCTATCAAAAATATGAAAATTGATAAGGTATTTATTTCAATCACTAATATATATGTAAAGTGATAAAAATTGGTCTGTCTGCAATTGTTGCAAAATTTTCATTATCATCATAGTTTTATTAAAGAGATTTTTATGTAAGTCGTGGATAGATCGTAGAATTGATCATATATCATAAAGTAGTCTATCATTTCGTGAAAACACTGAAAAAAGGACTGAAATGAATGTGTATTTAATACTATTTGATCACTGTGTCATTATATAGCTTGACCAAATCAATGAATAGAAATCTTTTGAAGTTATTAGTAACTAAACACAACGTTGCTATTTCATAATATGGTCATATGACGATATCATTATCGTTTTTCACCGCTAGCGGCGCTGATAGCTTATTTTTAACAGAAACAGAACTTTTAAGAGAATTGACATCACTTTATCCCTTATTGATATAATAAATAAATGTTCGTTTCTATTGCTGATATTACCAGATGGTATAGTTTTGGCTTTCATTATTTCATGTAATATCAGCGCCACCTACTTACTTCTAAATAAATTAAAACGGCAAGACATAAAATGAAATAATACAATGCTACTGAATATACGATGTAAATAATTGAATCATTTACATTACGTTCATCCCGCGTTGGAATCAGTGCAGCGAACCCTTTTTTGGTCAAAAACTCTACAGCCTGTGCCCAGTAGTAGCATATATGTAAGCTGTTTTTTTACTTTTCATGGGGCAATATATGCAGTTTTTATTTCATTCGTGTTTTCGGGTATGATAATTTATGTTTTCACTCTACCGTAAATATTAAGGCTTGCAAAGATGAGTAGAACTCATTATCGTCAGCCTATCAAAAGTCCACTGAAATGAACATTGGCCTCCCTCATAAATTGTCAAGTAGCTGGATATTTGCTATAGTGGCGGGATGGCAACCGCAGCTATTAATATTTTGATCTGTTGTCAAGAAGATGATGCAGATCATGCCATCTACTATTTTTTTCCTATGTCGCCTCTTACGACGGGACGATATGATGTGTTGGATTTTCTTTCACCGCCACAACAGTCCGAACATTTTTCTATTCCCGTGTGTATAAAATTTATAAGGAATAAAAGTAATTTTAAGGATTTTATCGCGTTTAATTTTAACTATTTAAATTCCCGATGGTTTGGGCAATTTACAGCACCCATGGTCACGGGAGGGGTGGCAGAACTGAGGTGTTTGACGACCTGATGTCATAGTTAAAATAGAATAGTTGAAATGCAGTAGTAGTTTGAATTTAATTTAATTAATCATGGAGTCCTTAGCAGATGATAACACTCAGCCATCTTCCCTATTAAAATTAAGATATTTTTAATTTCAATAGCCTCGCGAATCATCATTGGTAGGATTCGGTGTTCTATTGCAAGGATTTGTTGTATTATAATGGTTGGGACGATACTAAACATGTTTACATACTTTAGGCTTCTCGGAGCTTCGGTGCTTTCATTCGGTGAGGAGTCAAGATGCGTAAAAAACCCGTAACATTAGTTTTAATCCATGTGTGGTATTCATTATTATAGAACTGTATTTATGAAATTTTCAAGTCTACTCGAAGTAAATAAAAATATCTATATCTTTATATGGTGCCAGTCAATATTAAATAGGACCAATGATATGAATAAAATGTCTCAAATAAACATTATATGACTTTGTTAAATTATCTATTTATATCTATATCTATATCTATATCTATATATATAAAGAGTAAAATGTAAATAATAATAATACATTTTGATTTCAAGACTATTTACCTTTCTTATGGATACATCGGATTCGGAAGACACGCCATATATAAATAATAGTAGGAGTTTCTAGACGTATTATAAGTATATTCACGTGTTTCTGTAGCATGTTACCAATCATCTACGTCTAATAGTATTTTAGAATGAAAAAAAAATCTCTGACAGACATAGAGACATAGACACCAAGGTGACTCTAAAAGTGATCGAATATTTCTAAATTTGACACGGAACAGCATTTAATGATGTCCCTAAATTCAAGCGCACGCGAGCGAAGCCGCGGGTAAAAAGCTAGTCTATAATAATAATAATTACCTCTGGTCAAAAACTTGCTTGCAAACATTGACATAAAAAGCTACATCCAACCATTTCAATTGATCGAATACCGTGCCGGAGCTTGGTGCAATCTGATAGTACCCGTATTCCGTACACGTCTGGTAATACCATGCTCGAGCTGGAATAAAAAAATGCTTTTATTTGTGATATGATTTTTTTCTCAAAGGTATGTAAAAATTCGTCGTAAGTACGAAAGTCTTTGTCGTCGTAACGAGCCAAATTGATTAGCAAGGTGGAAACGCAATGTTGCATGATTGACAATGAATGTGTTTAAAAGCTCTTAATGCTCTGAAGTAAAATATTAATATTAGTTCATCATCAAACGGTAGACAACCTGCTACTGCCTTTAGTAGGAAGGTTCCAAAAGCAGGAACCACTACACTTGTTCCACGGATTGACCATCACAGCACCAGAACTCTCGCACTATTAATGGTGCTCCATATCTCTAGATAGTTTACATACTTACGGCATAAATTAAAATGCAACGATTTGTGCAAGTTGTCTGGTAGTAATTGGATTCATGAAGTCGAAGACTGCCGTATAGCGATAAGTGGAGGTCTATATTCAGAAATGGACTGCCACAAACTAAATAATGATGATAACATCACGTATGGCGCGCTGCGACCGTGGAAGGACTAAATTCGCACTGAATTAGCTAGCTTATTTTTATGTTTCGTACGATGAGTGACAAGAATCGGCGACCCCTTTTACAGGTAACGAGACATTCCATCTAAGCCCTTCAGGGTGATAATGCATCTACTTTGTTATTCTTAGGATATCAAGGATTAATGTGTCTATGAGCTACAGCATTCACTCATTATCAGGTGGTCTGTGAGCTCATTTGTCATCCTTACTTTTGTAAAAAAAGATTTCCGAAGCCCGTAGACGAGGCGAGGTGATGGATTCTTTAGCGCTTCCTCTCTGATTAATAACCCTTTAACCATACGAAACACGTACAGGCAGCGTCATGCGGCTGTTTTACACTAGTATTCTGTGAGAGTTTGATAATTTCTCATTTAAGCCGTGCTGCAGCCACAATACAGGTGCAAAATGGTTTTACGCCACATTTAATTTTTTTTTATATAATAAGGGTGAAAAACGAGCACACAGTCCGCCTGATAGTGAGTGGATGCTGTGGCCCATAAACATCAACTTAACTAATTAACTGAGGACAAAGGTGGAATGACTCGATTCCAGTGAAAAGAATCTCCGGTTCTCTACCCACACCATACGGAACACAGCTGAATTAAACTGCTATTTTACGCTGGTATTCTGTGAGAGTGTGGTCCTACCCCGGTCGAGCCGAGTTATTCGTGCTACATGCATAAAGCTGATGCGTGGCTCTACCAAGTATAATAAATAACAGTCTTATAAAAATTAAACTATTGGTATAAGTTTATTTCTGTTAAAACGAGAGAGGCGGCGTAAGGACGTCAAGCGCAATACAATCTGTATTGCTCTTGACGTCCTTACGCCGCCTCAGTACGAGTCTGTTGACTTCAACCACTAATTTATAAACTTTTGGCAACTTGGATACGAGGTCTGACTTTGCAAACCTCTGAAACAAAACAATTAAAAGAAACACGCTTTTCATATCTTAGAACTTCTCAGTTGATCTTCGCCAGGAAATGTTTAAATTTGTCTTCTACAGCACCGTTACACGGTTGTTTATTCAATAACTTATAGGGCAGTTTGACTTACAATTTGATCTTGTAGCATTGTAAGTGTTGAGAAAAGCTTCGTAACTCGCCGACCAACATGAATTTCCCAAGTTACGGATTGCTGCGATGTAACCGCCGATTTTCTGCATTGGAGTCACTCCTGCGAAAAATGGTAAACGCAAGTTGTCTCGACTTTTAACATGGGTTTTATGTACATATGAGTATATACGTAGCATATGTTACAAAGGTCACCTTTTTCTCCAAAGGCCAACCTCACTTGCATACCAAGCACCTTATGCAAGTGGTGTTGGACATCAGCTGCCTGTCGTGTCTGTGACGATCGACTTATGGCGGAAAATCCATCCTTAAATGTTGAGCATGAACTGAACAGATATCTCTGTTCAATTCATGCTCAACATTTAAGGATAAAGTAGTAAAGCTAAAGTAGGTAAGTACCATTAGGTACGTATTATTGTCTATGCATATGCACTCGCTAGTCCATTCGCCAGTCAAACCATGATTCTATCTTGTACCAAAGACAATTATTCTTATTATAGGTTTATCGATACAAATAAAGTGTCTGTCGGTAAGGTCAAAATAACAGCTTTGTACTAAATGCATAAAAATGTATATAGAGTACTGATAACAAAAACACAATTATTAAAAATTTCGTCTGTCTATCTGTTTGTTTGTTCCCTGTTTGTTTGATATTGACGGAACTTTCATCGGGAAGATAGCTGATGTTATAAGGAGTAACTTAGGCTACTTTTATTTTAGGAAAAGAATTAGGGTTCCGGACAAAAAAATCAAAACCGTAGAGTACCTAATAAATTCAACGCGGACGAAGTCGCGGGGAACGGCTAGTATGATATAAAATAACGTAAAAATAATAAAAAAGGTATGTAATTTGATGAAAATATAAATACTTTGAAGTTATGTAACTACAGCCAATTTTTTATCTGTTAAATAAATAGCTCCAATAAAGTCATAAATTTAAGCTATAACTACGCTAACTCTAATAAGTGTAGCTACTCTTCCTCAAAAGCTCAAGAGTGAACAGCTGTACTTGGGTCTCACAACAGTAGAGAGGAGTCACCGTAATCGTCAAGTTTGGTTGGTTAATAGCGATCGTCTTACCAGACTGCATCCCGTTGCCGGTCTGGATATTTTACCAACCTACATTTTCTATAAATACAAGAAATGTTACCTTCTATCGGAAGTTAGGGGAGGCCTATATTCAGCTGCGGATATTTATAAGCTGTAATAATGATGATCGGAGGCCACAATACCTTTATGCGTTTCCCCAAGTGGTCTTTTCCATATGATGCAAGTAGTGGTTAATTACAATGGATGATATGGGTGACACGTTACATTATTTTATTCAGCCTATATGTGTTGCACTGCGCAATAAAGGCCTCCCCTTCCGTCTTCTACTCAACCTGTCGCAATTTTCTGTAATACTATACCATTATTCATTAGAGCGGTCGTCAATGTCATCAAACCATATCTTCTTTGGTCTTTTTTTATAAGCCTGTAAAAGTCCATTACTGGATATGGGCTGGACTTTCCCTTTCTAAGGAGGATATAGGTACCTACACTTTAATCGTCACGCTTTGCAAACGGATTGACGATCGCAATATCAGACGTCTCCCATCTTCGACGCAGCTCTGCCCGTCGCCGCCATTCTGAATATTTTAAGTCTGACCTATGTAGTTTGTCGGCACACTCGTAATTATTAAGGAATACATGGTTGATAATATAAACCCGGAGTTTTAACGGTAACTTGACCGCCGTTGGATTGCTGCTCCTGTATTATTGTTTAACCACTCAAGCGCCGTTAAATAATGATTTAAAGTGGATTTTGATACGTAAAAGTGGTGATATTTTGTGTATACGAGTAGTACGTGACGGTAATATAGTCATCCGGTTAATACGGTCACTTTCTTATAACTCAAAAACTACAGCCTTGTTTGTATGGATGGCTCTGTGATACGGTAGTTCTTCATCAGTCAATCAAATAACAAAGGGTCAAAACTTTATCGACGCCATTTTGACAGTTGAGATTTTAGTAGTATTTTAGTCGATTTTAATATAGTGTAAAGTAGTAGTATTATAGTATTTTAGTCGATTTTAATATAGTGTAAAGTTGTTAATTTTTTTTAAGTTAATTTATCGAAGTGTTCCTAATTATTATATAAGTAAATTAATAGTTTTAAAAAAGTTAAATCTTAGTACCTACTTTAAATTAAGGTACATTGTGCGACTTCTATGCATGAGGACTACTGGGACTAAAAATGTTGGCAACTTTTATAAAATTAATAAACTGGTTAAGTGCGGTGCGGTGCTACGGTGGCGACCATGGTAACGGCGGGGCAGGGGGTGCTAAGAATCTCCGGTGGAGGTTCGGTTGCCACCTACGACGACTCGACCTGGCAACATACAACGCACGCATCCTGAGGACTAACGAGAAGATTGTGGAGCTAGAGGAAGAGATAGACAAGTTACGCTGGCATATTATAGGATTATCCGAAGTCCGAAGAGAGGGGGAGGACACGGTAATCCTCGAATCCGGCAACTTGCTCTATTACCGGGAGGGCGACCATCTGTCTCAAGGAGGTGTCGGATTTATCGTCCACAAGTCTCTCGTTAACAACGTTGTAAAGATTGAGAGTGTGTCGACGAGGGTTGCGTACCTTATACTCAGAATCACCAAAGAAGGTCTGAAGGTCATACAGGTTTACGCACCAACCTCGGCACACCCCGATCAGGAGGTGGAGGAAATGTATGAGGATATCTCTAGAGCCATGCATTCCTCTAAAACCCACTATACGGTGTTAATGGGAGACTTCAACGCAAAACTAGGCACAAGAGAGAACGGTGAGCTGAAAGTAGGGAAATTTGGAATAGGGAAACGGAACCTAAGGAGCCAGCAGCTGGCCGACTTCAAGGAGAAAGAGGGACTCTTTATGATGAAGTCTTTCTTCCAGAAGCGGCCCCACAGGAAGTGGACCTGGTCGAGCCCCGACGGTTCGACAAAAAATGAGATTGACTTCATTATGACGACCAGACGACAACTGTTCAGTGATGTCTCCGTGATCGCGAGGGTGAAAACTAGTAGCGATCACCGAATGGTTAGAGGCACACTGAACCTAAACGTTAAGTTGGAGAGGTCTCGTCTAATGAAGTCAACGCTCCGTCCCCCTCGTGCTCTGTTCCAAAGTCCCGAAACCTTTCAGCTCGAGTTACAAAACCGTTTTCAATGCCTAGAAGACCGCAATGAAGTGGACGATATGAATGACAAGCTCGTGGAAACTGTCCATGCGGTCGGAGCTAAGTTCTGCAAGACTCGCCGCAGAAGAACACAAAACTCTCCGATCACGCTCTTAATCTCATGGCTGTTAGACGGGAGATGAAGCTACATTCTTCAACAGATTTGACAGCACACAGGCAACTCAACAGACAGATCTCCAAATGCATGCGGCAGGACTTATGCAACTTCAATACAGCTTGTATTGAAGAAGCGATCGAGCGGAACCAAGGCTCCAGAGTCTTTGCCAGAGATCTGTCTGCTAGAACGAGCCAACTGTCAAAGCTGAAGACCGAGTGTGGCAGCATCGTTTCCGGGACACCTGAGATTTTGAGTGAGATTGAGAGGTTCTATGGGCAACTGTTACACGTCATAGTTGGAGCCACACGCAAGTGTGAGTAACAATTCAAGAGCGAGTCTTATCTGACACTATTCCGAAGATATCCCGGACATCAGTCTGAGCGAGATTAGAATGGCTCTCCAGCACCTTAAAAACGGCAAGTCCCCAGGCGAGGATGGAATTACAGCGGAGGTTTTGAAAGCGGGTGGAAAACCGGTACTTGAAGTCCTTCAGAAGCTCTTTAATTCCGTCCTCCATGGTGACACTACTCCGGAGGCGTGGAGCAGACGTGCGGTGGTCTTGTTCTTCAAGAAAGGCGACAACGCTCTCTTGAAGAACTATAGACCGATTTCCCCTCTGAGCCGCGTCTACGTGCTGTTTTCGAGAGTCATTACGAATCGTCTTGCACGCAGACTTGACGACTTCCAGCCTCCCGAACAAGCCGGTTTCCTAAAAGACTTTAGTACCATAGACCACATACATACCCTGTGGCAGATTGTACAGAAGACAGAGGAGTATAATCTGCCACTTTGCCTTGCGTATGTGGACTATGAGAAAGCCTTTGATCCCGTCGAAATTTGGGCGGTGCTGCAGTCCCTTCAGCGGTGCCAAGTTGATTGTCGGTATATCGAAGTGCTGAAGTGTTTATATAGTAGAGCTACGATGGCTATCCGAGTACAGAATCAAAGTACGAAACCTATCCAACTGCAGAGAGGTGTAAAACAGGGTGACGTTATATCCCCGAAACTCTTCACCGCTGCATCGGAAGACGTTTTCAAGCTAGTGGACTGGAAAGGATGCGGTATTAACATCAATGGCGAGTACATCACTCACCTACGATTTGCCGACGATATAGTCTTTATGACAGAGTTGTTGGAGGACCTAAGCACTATGCTCAATGACCTCAATAGTGTCTCCCAACGGATAGGTCTTAAGATGAACATGGACAAAACAAAAATCATGTTTAACGTCCATGTTACACCTATGCCGGTAGTTGTTGGGAGCACTAAGCTCGAAGTTGTTGACGAGTATGTTTACCTGGGACAAATAGTCCGACTAGGTAAGTCCAACTTCGACCGAGAGGTCAATCGACGGATTCAACTCGGCTGGGCAGCGTTCGGGAAACTACGACACATCTTCTCGTTAGACATACCTCAAAACCTGAAAACGAAATTGTACAACCAGTGCGTGTTGCCAGTGATGACTTACGGATCTGAGACGTGGTCCTTCACTGCTGGCCGTATGAGGAAGCTCAAGGTCGCTCAGCGAGCTATGGAGAGGGCTATGCTCGGGGTTTCTCTGCGTGATAAACTTTGAAATGATCCGCAGTAGAACCAGAGTAACCGACATAGCCCAACGGATTAGTAAGCTGAAGTGGCAGTGGGCCGGCCATATAGCTCGAAGAACCGACAACCGATGGGGAAGAAAGGTTCTCGAGTGGCAGCCTCCTACCGGTAGGCTAAGTGTAAGGCGACCCCCCACTAGATGGAGTGACGACCTGGTAAGACATGCAGGAAGTCGATGGATGCAGGTGGCTCCGGACCGTGCTTTGTGGCATTCCTTGGGGGAGGCCTATGTTCAACAGTGGACTTATGAAAGGCTGTAATGATTAATGACGATTATTATGCCAAATTACAGATTTGTAGCACCTAGGGTCTCTTAGGAAAACCGCGGACGGATGGACGGACGGACGGACATGGCAAAACTATAGGGTAACTAACAAAAATGGGTAGTTTCTGGGTACTTTAGTGCTTTTTCTTACCGTAAGCATTAGTGGCGAAGTTGTTACAGATGCTCAGCAGAGTGCCTGGGCGCGCTTGCTGCACTGACGTGGAGAATGTCCAGGTGATGAGACCGGACAAATAGCCCAGATCGAAATCATTGTCGTAGTTCAACGGTGAACATAGCCTACATAATTGAACAATAAGTTATTAATATAATTTATAAGCAAAGCGAAAATTAAATAAGTGTTAGGTAGTGTGTTTAGTGTATATTTGTTTACATTAATAAAATATTGAATTTACTATTAATGAAGCACTAAATTGAAACTTGTTATGAAAGTAGACCTAATTGCACCCATCATTCATTTATTTCATTCATTAGAACAAACTGTCAAAAGGCCACTGTAGAACATAGGCCTCCCCCATAGATTGCCTTATAAGAGAGATTTTGCCATAGTTGAAAGTTTGACAGACGGGTTAACTACGCAGTTTTTAATATTTTAGTTTCTTATCAAGAAGACACTGCTGCTTATCTACGCTTTGTATTTCCTCTGTCGCCTCTTTTGACCCTCACGACATGATATGGAATAGTGATTATTTTTACGCTGGCACTCCACGACGGTCGCACTCTCACTCATTTTAATCTTAATTTAATTGTAACCATTCCACCTGTAAGCTTCTTCTAATGATCTCCGCCCTAATTCTGTCTGCATAGCCGCGATTGTGTCCGCTATACCCTGCCTTATAGTTGATATGCATTGCTCGCCTCCTTCTGATAATAATGCTTGATGAACTACCTCCAAATATCCTATATAAAAAGTGAAAAAAAAACTACATAAAAATAAATCAATTTAAAAGTAATCTTCTTTTATAAAATAAGGGTGACAAACGAGCACTCAGTCCACCTGATGGTAAGTGTGGTTTGTGTGGCCCAAAGACATCTACATCTATCCTCGATTACGAATCAAAATGCAGTGAGGACTAAGGAAAAGTGTCTATCAGTAAAAAGGGTCTCCGGTTCTCTACACACATCACACACCATACGAAATACAGCAGTTTAAGCTGCTATTCTGTGAGAGTGTGTTTCTACCCCGGTTGAGCCGACATATTCGTGCTACAACTATACTACTAATATAGCTGCAGCATGGCTCTACCGCGTAAAATTTGAATCTCTTCCTTCTACATAATGATTTTTTTATCGTGTACATAGATACTCTTTTATTATACAGCGGATTTGCTTAAATTGTCACGACTTTTATGCACTGATTGAAAATTGCCGTACGCCTGGTATTTCACCATCAGGTGGTATCGCTCATCTTTGACGCCTCTCACAGTCACCGGTTTGACTATTACAACTGACAATGTAATGGACACCATTCGATATATTTATCATTTACCGTAGTTGTCAATTATACACCCATAGCACCTCCTGTCACCGCACGCCGATTTTCTTTTTTTTAAACCATACAATAAATTCGCCTATGATGGCCTATAATTTTATAAAATCTTCTACGACTTTATAGTATTATAAATTCGTAACAGAAATAGATTTTTTTTTAATACGCATCGTTCGCTGACTCCACCCTGCTTTTGAGCAAGGCGAGTATAGAAAATTGTCTTCGCGCAATTCCAATATTAGTTATAATTCTAATTAAAATATGTTCGAACCTGAGATAATTTTTAATTTTATATAACTTACCTGCAAAGTCTACTTTTCCTTTAATAGGTCCGCTGGAAGCTACAACTCCCTCAACCAAGTGAGGGTACCGCTGTTTAAACCATAGCGCCATATTGGCCGCGTAGGACCCACCGTAAAGGATGATTTTGCTATTGGTAAATCGTGACTGTTTTTTCAGTTCGAGAATGAAATACGCTAGATCTGCCAGGGCCTGGTCCACATTCAAGAATCGTAGGTTTTGAGCTGTGAACTCCCTAAAATTAAATTAAAAATTTAATATATTCTTATAAAGTTTAAATTATTAATAATTAATAAATAAATAAAATTGTATTTCGGTATTTTAATTTTAATGTATAAGTTTTTTAGTCCTATTATCAATTATTTATATTATAAAACTTATGTTTGGTAGCTTAATTCAGTGCTAAGGTTAGGCGCCATTAGTTATCATAGCTTAAGAATAAAATGTAGATACCAGTATAGTCACCAGTTCTTCTCACCCACCATACAAAACAGTAGCATTAGGTTCTGTGTGCGCGGTTCTTTCCTGTTCAAGCCAAGCCATTCATTCTACAGACAAAATAAAGCTGCAACGTTGCTCTACCAAGTTTAAATTCACCATTTTACTAGGTGATAGGACTATTTCTGCCTAGGAGTCTGTCTGCCTAGGAGACCGTCTGCATAGGATTCCGTCTGCATAGAAGTCTGTTTGCCTAGGAGTCCGTCTGCCTTGGAGTCCGTCTGCCTAGGAGTCCGTCTGCCTAGAAATCCGTCTGCCTAGGAGTCCGTCTGCCAAGGAGTGCGTCCGCCTAGGAGTCCGTCTGCCTAGGAGTCCGTCTGTCTAGGAGTCCGTCTGCCTAGGAGTCCGTCTGCCTAGAAGTCCGTCTGCCTAGGAGTCCGTCTGCCTATGAGTCCGTCTGCCTAGGAGTCCGTCTGCCTAGGAGTTCGTCTGCCTAGGAGTCCGTCCACCTAGGAGTCCATCTGCCTAGGAGTCCGTCTGCCTAGGAATCCGTCTGCCTAGGAGTCCATCTGCCTAGGAGTCCGTCTGCCTAGGAATCCGTCTGCCTATGAGGCCGTCTGCCTAGGAGTCCGTCTGCCTAGGAGTCCGTCTGCCTAGGAGTCCGTCTGCCTAGGAGTTTGTCTGCCTAGGAGTCCGTCTGCCTCGGAGTCCGTCTGCCTATGAGTCCGTCTGCCTAGGAGTCCGTCTGCCTAGGAGTTCTTATGCATATGAGTCCGTCTGCCTAGGAGTCCGCCAGTATAATTACAGGTTGTGAGGATCTTAGTCCTCAGAGGTAACCACGCACCGTTGCTTTCACGTACTGCAGTATCCATTTACCCTCAGGTGGTAGAGCCACGCTGCAACTAAGTATGTTATGGTAGTAGCACGAATGGGTCGGCTCGACCAGGAAAGACCACGCTCTACCAGAATACCACCGTAAAATAGCAGCTTAATGCTGCTGTGTTTCGTATGGTTGTAGAGAACCGGAAACACTTTTTACTGGAAAGTAGGCATTCCATCGTAGTCCTCAGATTCTTTGATTCTTATTTATATAAAATAGTGACATATTGGGACGAATTGGGCTGTGTGTTCCAGACGGGTACGTATGGAAACGGCGGCGGCCGCGGCTGCTGTCTGTGCCGCGAGCCCGTACCAATTTACTCGATTCTTAATAGAATGGCTGAAGGCATTGACCTATTCTATTGCACCTTGAGTGAATTTACGAGGATAGGATTTTTTTTTATAGGAGAGGGGGCAAACGGCTCACCTGATGGTAAGTGACTACCGCCGCCCATGAACAGCTGCAACACCAGGGAGTGAATCGCAGATGCGTTGCCGGCCTTTTAATAAGGAGTACGCTCTTTTCTTGAAGGTCCCTAAGTCGTATCGGTCCGGAAAAATCGCTGATGGTAATCGATTCCACAAGGAAGTCGTGTCAGGAAGAAAACATCTTCTAAATCGCACAGTGGTGGACCGCCAATCATCCAGATGGTGTGGATGGTATCGGGAGTTCTGCCGCGATGTGCGTTCGAGAAATTTGGCGGCTGGGATTAATCCGTATAATTCCTCAGAGCACTCCTCGTGGTAGATCCGAAAGAAAATGCAAAGGGATGCAACATCTCTTCGCAGTGCCAATGAATCGAGCCGATCGGAAAGGACTCGGTCGTCGACGATTCGAGCCGCTCTGCGCTGGATGCGGTCAAGTGGAAGGAGATGGCACTGCCCAGAGATGGGAACAGTATTCCACGTGAGGCTGAACCTGCGCCTTGTAAAGTTGCAGGCGATGTACCGGCATGAAATACTGTCCCGCTCTGCTGACCACGCCAAGCTTTTTAGAGGCCAATTTGACCACGAAACTGCACGTCACTCGATATATCGACTCCGAGGATTCCGATACTGGCTGAGGCAAGAAACCGGGGAGTGCCTTGAAACTGAGGAGATACGACAAAGGGTAGATAGCGGTAAACGCGCAAACTTGTGTCTTCTGAGGATTAATCTGGACTAGATTTAGTCGCCCCCAATCCGAGACTTTGTTCAGCAAAGACTCGACTTCAGACACAAGTTTTCCCGAGAAATATTGGCACGGCCTGTGTATAGAGCATCACCAGTGCTGTCATCCGCATAGCAATGAATGTTACTAGTTAGCAACATATCATTGATATGCAGAAGAAACAGCGTTATGATAGCACACAGCCTTGTGGAACACCAGCGTTAATAGGCTTGTAGTCGGAGCATGCACCGTCTACAACGACCTTGATGCTCCGATCTGCAAGGAAGCTGGTGATCCAATCGCACAATTTCTCGAGAAGCCCATAGGAAGGAAGCTTCGAAAGAAGCGCTTTGTGCCAGACCCGATCGAAGGCCTTCGCAATGTCTAAACTAACGGCCAACGCCTCCCCCTTGGACTCTATTGCCTCTGCCCATCTATGGGTCAGGTAGACCAGAAGATCACCAGCTGATCGACCCCGACGAAAACCGTATTGGCGGTCACTAATCAGCTGGTGATCCTCAAGGTACCGCATGAGCTGGCAGTTAATAATTGATTCCATTATTTTGGAGAACAAGGAGGTGATCGCGATAGGTCGCCTTTTTTAGGATTGGGTGGACAAAAGCTGTCTTCCATGAATTCGGGACTACGCCTTGGGAGTAAGAGTACCGGAAAAGACGCGTTAGGACCGGTGCCAACTCCGGAGCACACGTCCTCAGCACAATTGGGCAGATTCAGTCAGGCCCACTCGACTCCTGGATGTCCAGAGAGAGGAGTGCTTTGCGAACCGAGCGCTGTGAGAACAGCACATACGGCATGGAGCACTCACACCGCGGGATGGTCGGCGGTGTTTTCCTCCCGTCATCAAGAGTCGAGTTGGACGCAAAAAGGGAGCCTAAAAGGTCGGCTTTGTCTTTTGCGTCTTGGGCCAGTGAGTCGTCCTCCCTGTGCAGAGATGGTAGTGATGGCTTACAGAAATTTCCTTGGACAGCCTTGGCGAGAAACCAGAATGCACGGGTTCCCGGAGGAAGGCGAACTAGTTTCTCGCCAATTCTGCCTATGTGCTCTGACTTTGCCTTGGCAATAACTCTTTTGAAGGACCTGGAGGCGAAGTTATACTTCTTTTTAAGTGTGCTGGTGTTTACATCCCGAGTCGCCGAAGCCGCAGCCCAGGCTTGATAACACTCCTGCTTACTGCGTAATGCAGTCTTAGGGGAGCGACCAAACCAAGGCTGAGATCTGCCTCCGATGGGTACCACAGATGATGGAATAAATAGTTCCATTCCCTGTAGCACCACATCAGTGACAGAGTCAGCAACAGCGCTGGGATCATCCGGTGAGAAGCAAACCCGCCCCCATGGGTAGGATGCAAAGAAAGACCGCATTCCGTCCCAATCCGCCGACCTGTAATGCCAAACACGGCGGCAACCTGCAGAACGCAACCGCGAGGGGAGCGTGAGTGGCACCACACTCCGGATCAGACAATGGTCCGAAGAGTCGAGAGGGGTATCGACGAAAACCTGATATCCGTCCGGATGACAGGTCAGCAGAAGGTCCAACAGGGAAGGTGTATGATCCTCCACATCTGGAATCCGCGTAGGCGAAGTAACCAGTTGTGTCAGACCATATGCCAAAGCAAAGTCATAAACAGATCTCCCCGCATGATCGGTTAAACGTGAACCGAGCCATTCGGCGTGGTGGGCGTTAAAATCGCCAAGGATCACGATCTCTGCGGATGGGACCTGTTGTAGAATCTGTAGCCATTTGGACGTGGTCAATGAGTCGGTCTGTTTCGGCATTACCGCTATGGGACCTATAGAGGCACCCGTAGACGCGCGGATGGTCATCGCTGTCTACGCGTAGCCATAGACTGCCCAGGCGTCGAGAACAGATGTCCTCTCTGACATACACGCAAACTCCAGCCCGAGGCACAAAGGAGTGCTCCAATTTGTACCCTGGGTACGAAATATCAGCCGGAGAGGAAACCTGCGTCTCGGTCAGAAAGAGCAAGGTCGGCTTCGCCGTCCCAAGATGGTAGTGGACGGCGTTTAGGAGTTATTCCACTCCTGAGCACCCACGCTCAGGAGTGGAATAACATGGTTGTGGATGCTCAGCGAGCGATTCTCCAGGGGTGCTGGTACCCTCCTGGGGTCGTCTAACGTGTAATTCCGCTACCTTGTTGATGGGGGGGGGGGGGGGGGGGGAATTGGGCCTCCGGCCACCTGCACTCACCAGACGAAGGGAAGGGCAGAAGCAGAGCTTCTACTTCACGCCGGTATTCTTTGAGGTCGTGGTACCAACCCGGCTCGAGCAGGCCCATACGTGCAACAGCAAAAACTGCTGCGTGGCTCTACCACCGTTAAAAGGATTGTTTACAATATGTTACAGTTAATGACCACATTTAGATGTTTATGGGCTACAGCATCCTCTTACCATGAGGTGGACTGCGTGTTCGTTTGTCACCCTTAATCTGTTAAAAAAACCTCAGGTGGACTGTAAGATCGTTTGTCACTTCAGATTTATAAAAAATATATATTAACTTACTGATACGGTAGTGTTTCTCCATAGTAGCGATGTTCGGTATAGATCATGTATCCGCGGTTTTCTTCAGCCATTAGGTACATATTACCAGCTAGCAGCCAGCCCGCTGCAATGGTCCATTCTCCGCCTACCATTATAAAAATAGGGTAGCCATCACCACCGAAGAACTGTTCGTTGAACATAAATCGCTGAAACAATTAAGCAATAAAATTGTATCAATGATTTAGGACAACATTGCTCAAGGCGCTATTGAGTGTAAGTACTTACCCTACTCTTAAATTTCCATTAGTTTTTTTGCCTTCGAACTTAAATCGGGTGAAATGAAATGTATAAAAGTAGATATATACCTACTATATTACTCACGATCTTGTTCTTCAAGAGAAAACAACATTGAATAAAACTACTTTTACGGATTTATCGCGTTTAATTATCTTGTTTTTTATTGATTCCCGACGTTTCGGGTACTTTACAGCACCCATTAAAAAGCCGAAGGTACTCTGGGTTAACTCTGACATCGGGACGTCAATCACCTCAGTCCCCCCGTGACCATGGGTCCTGTAAAGTAGGTACTCGAAACGTCGGGAATCAATAAAAAACAAGATAATAAAACGCGATAAAACCCATAAAAGTAGTTTTATTCAATGTGTAGTGAAGAAATCATTAAGAAAACATTTTAAAATACTTTGGTGACAATTTCTACTCTGTTCGAATGTTATACCATAGACAACTATGTACGTAAACGTTTTATTTAATTTATTTGTAAAACTAATCTTTACAATAAATAATCACATATTCTCTCATATAAACTCTACTTCACGTATTAATGTACAGATGACGCTATCATGCAGTGGGTGTCATAAAAGGGAAATGAAAATTGAAATGATGGGCGCCAGCATATGCAGAAAAAAATCAAAATAGTAAAAAACTGCGATATGGCAACTACAGAAAAAATTTCCCCTATGAGGCAATTGGGAGAGGGAAATGTTCGGCAGTGGACTGTTTGTTTTATAAATTAATCAATCACGGCTTTCTTACTAGATAGATAAATACCACACTTGCTAATTTATTGAATCTGCTGTTGTATTCCGCATCTGTAAATTATCTGAATTGCTTACAAATGTCCGAGGGCTTCAATAGCCGGTTACCGTCAGAATTGTTAGCACGTTAAACACTATAATTTATAATTAAATATTAAGAATTATCGAGTAAGGCTATCATTATAAACGAACCATTTGAAAAGTATCACGGTTCTGCGGATCAAAGTGATCGATGGGCATTGTCACCCAGCTTTGAAACACATTCCGGGCAGTCAGGTTGCGTGTTGACTCCGGCGGCTGTAAATCGATTCTTATCGGTGGCTCAACAACACGTGGTTCTCCCCATGATGGCGTCAATACCCACCCAAACACCAATAAAAATATCTGAAACTTAGAATAAACTTATTTAATATGTACTGGGCTTTAAATGGATGATTTCAAGACACACGGCAGTATGTCAGCCAGGAAAGGAAAATTGCGACGCACCGGCATATTTACACGAATAATTTCGAGTTAATTTCGAGCCCCCCATAACTTAAAAACTAATAGATCTATGGCCAAATACTCAAAGCATGCTCAATTTTAGGACGTCGCTAAGTCTCGTGGTGTCACAGTCACTTTGACTTAAAGTGATAGAGACAGCATGAGATTTAACGGTATCTTACAATGGAGCGGGCATTATAGGTACCTATACTCATTATTCTGCATACCTCATTAAGACTCCTTAAATACCTAGAATCTTTTTTTGAATAAACCTGTTACTTATAGTTATTGATTTATTATGGTCTAAATAGTGCCAAAACCTATGCCACTTCTGATTATTTAGCAACTTAAGATTTAACATCATATTGATCATTGGGCGAAAATCTTAATACTTGAAATAATCAATATTCGATGTCGAAAAAGTGTCGACATAGTTATTGGTGCCCTTAGTTCCTGGTACTGTATTTGCAGCAGTTCCAAGAACTAAGATGTATATTCCTATAGAACCTATTATTTAGGCAACTGTTTGGGGTTTGGCGACTATACATATCTCGCAAAACCCCAGACGTCTTCTAAACGGAATTTGGCCCCTTTTCACATATACCTACGTTTTTGATGGATTAATTTCTATACTACACTTAACAAAAACATATAATAGCTTTATAATTTATATGTTACGTGGTAGAGCCACGCTGCAGCTATATTAGTAGTATAGTTGTAGCACGAATGGGTTGGCTCGACCGGGGAAGGACCACGCTCTCACAGAATACCAGCGTCAAATAGCAGTTTAACACTGCTGTGTTTCGTATGGTGAGTGTAGAGAACCGGAGACTATTTTTACTGGAAAAGAGGCATTCCATCTTAGTCCTCACGAGTGACAACGCATCTGCGTTTTGATTCACAAACGAAGATAAATGTAGATGTCTATGGGCCACGCAACCACGTACCATCAGGTGGACTGTGTGCTCGTTTGTCACCCTATCCTATAAAAAAAAATGTTTATGTAATTTTATAATAAAACACGTTTCGATTATACCTATGAGTCTATTTCTTTTCATTTTTGATAAAGTATTATTTTTGATATTATATAATTGGCTTTTTAAAAAGACAACATAAAAGAGGAGGGATGTTAACGGAGTTTCTTTAGCCGGTATTTTGCAGAGAAACCCAAAAAGATACTATGTATATACCTTTTTAAGGTACTATATACCATTTTGAAACTGAAGTAGGTTAAAAAGATTTTGACTTTTGAAAACGGAATTTTATTTTCTTATGTCAAAAATTAAGTTTCTGTTAATCGACTCGACTTTTAGCCTAGTAAGATGGACAACGGTAAAAATATAATTTTAATGTGCCTCTTCTTCCGGCATGTATATTACACATATTACAGTCACGAAATGCTTGTCATTCGCTGCCTTTTAGTGATTTATGTACTCTTTGCTGGCTTTATAATGCGGAAACTGCGGAAACGGACTATAAATTTATGTACCAGACTATTCAGACCGTTAACAAAGAGCAACATCGAAGATGCGAAACGTCTGAGCATCCGATCAGCAATTTGCCTGTCAAGCGTAGCGATTTTAGCCAAAGAGTACGAAATGACAAATTCTCGCAACAGTGGGAGACGTTTTTTTTTCTAGCGACAATGAGTGAAATTTCTGAAAATACTTGTTCTTCAATAAACATTCTTTTTTTAGTAATTTTATATGATATACATATATTATATATATATGTATTGTAAATAATCGATTAATACACCACACATCCACACAGGATCACGGAAATAAATTCTAGGGTCTCCCGAGGGTTGGTATGTGTGTGCACTTCCCGTGAGTAGTGGTAGATGCCATGCAGATAATTTGTGGAACTGATATTAGATAACGATTACTAAAATCAAATACAAACGAATTCGAAAATCGAAATTAGACAGTAGCTACTAAATTCCATATTTTACATTTTCCGCATATTTTCCTCGGGATTTCTTTAGTAAATAGGAATCTACTTTAAACCAGAAGGTAATAAGACTACTTTTTGTAATAAGATGGAGAGAGTTAAGTGGGGTTCGGTATCCGTTATCATCACAACATATACAAACCCAAGAAACCCTCAATATAATTGAAATCACTGACTTTTGGTAGTTTTGAACAAATTATCTCCTGTGTTCATAAAACAAAATATTTAAAAAATATATCTCATTTACATATCGTCCAAAACATTAAGTAAGTATTAAGCATATCTTATTATAACCCAAGTATATACAGTATAGTACCGATCCATGTTGTATAAAATTAAGTTTATTAAATTAATAAAAAATACACTTACCATTTCAAATAATAACCTATAAAATATCTTTGATCACAAACTACAAGTTTCAAATTGGCCTCGCGTTTGGCTATTCACTAAAATAATAAGCCGATTGTTTATCATCTCGATTAAAATAGATAAATAAACGCAACCAAGATAACTTTAACAGTAATGATATGTTAAATATTAATTTTTAATTTTTACGGGTTTGCAACTATTTTGATTGATTAAAAGCACTGAAATAATCATCTGTAAACCTTTGACAGTATTTAAAAGTTTTCCCATGGTAGAATTTTGACTAGGGGATTCCCCATAAACCTAATAATGATAATTAGCGGAAGAACCTGCTAGAAATCGGAGATTTTCGAGGCGGATTTAGCAAACTCCTTTTAGGATTTTTCGCTGTGTATAGAGTTTGAGCATGTTGTGTTATAGTATTTAGTTCCACATTTTTTTTGATAATGAAAATTATCGGAATTTAATAATGATAGTTATCGGAAGAACCTGCTTGAAATCTGAAATTTTCGAGGCGGATTTAGCAAACTCCTTTTAGGATTTTTCGCTGTGGATAGATTTATGAGCATGTTGTGTTATGGTGCCTTTCCACGCTTGCCAAGCCTCGGCAAACGTCTCCTAGCCCCAAGCGTCCACAAATCTCGTTTGGCGTTTGGAAGTTGTTTACACACTTGTGAATGCGTCACCGTCAGTGTGCTACGTATATCCAAGCATGGCGGACACCGAACTTGTGTCGGCTATTGCGTTTGGTTTAACATACCTACTTTTATTTGAAATACAAGCAAAGTAATACAAAAACAAGGAGTTTTTGGCTTTTAATTCTTTTACTGGCTTTCCTGTTAACTCGGCAAGACGACTCCAAGCATTTGCAACTTTCTTTTTATTTTTATGATTAACGTCTATGGGGTTCCAGATAGACGATTCGGTCTGGTAATATTCCAGAAACGATAAACTCTCTTCGTTCGACCAGTCACTCATTTTAAACAAAGAACTAAACATACGCTCGTCGCGAAATCACAATTTCTACTAAACGCGCACCAACGACAACGTGTGAATGCGTTGCAACTTGCAACGCATTCACACGTTGTCGTTGGTGCGTTGCAAGCGCTTGCCGCAAGCGCCCTTTGATCTGTGTCCAAAAACCGACACTAGCCCGGATCGGGGACAAGCGTCCACAAGCTCACGCAAGCCAAGCCAAACGCCCTCTTTACACACTTGTGCTTGTGGATGCTTGCCGAGACTTGGCAAGCGTGGAAACCCGGCATTATAGTATTGGGTTCCACATTTTGTTTTTGATAATGAAAATTAGCGTAATTTGATAATGATAGTTAGCGGAAGAACATGCTTGAAATCTGAGATTTTCGAGGCGGTATTTAGCAAACTCCTTTTAGGATTTTTCGCTGTGGATAGAGTTATAAGCATGTTGTGTTATACTCGTAGTATTGAGTTACTCAATTTTGTTTTTGAAATTAATGAATTATTGGAACACATGTAGGAAGTCGAAGGATGCAGGTGGCTCAGGGCCGTGCTTTGTGGCATACCTCGGGGGAGGCCTATGTTCAGCAGTGGACTTGTGAAAGGCTGTAATGAATGAATGAGCTATTAACCTATAAAAGTCCACTGCATTACATAGGCCTCCCTAATGGATTGCCTCATGGGGGTTTTGCCATAGTTGCCACGCGTAGCAAGCGGGTAGGCAACCGCAGTTTTTATTATTTTAACTTGTTATTAGGAAGATGCCGTTTCATTTTCCCTCTGTCACGTTTTTACGTGCTAGATCCACGCTGCAGCAATATCGTTGTTGTAGCACGAATGGGTTGGCTCGACCGGGGTAGGTCTACGCTCTCACAAAATACTAGCGTAAAATAGCAGCTTAATGTTGCTGTGTTTTGTATGGTGAGTGTAGACTGTAGAGTACCGGAGACCCTTTTTACTGGAAACGAGGCATTCCATCTTAGTCCTCAGGGATGACAACGCATCAGCATTTTGATTCTTAATGGGGGATAAATGTATAGACGTCCTATGGGCCACAGTATCCACTTACCATCAGGTGGACCGGGTGCTCATTTGCCACCCTATTCCATAAAAAAAGTCTTACGTCACCCTTGGGATGATATTCGGTAGTGGATATTCTTACACCGCCACTACACGTTTATATTACAATTATCAATTATTATAAATTTGAATAGGTACTGATTATAAATATTATTTATCTAATCTTATCACAACCTAATTTTAAGAATGTTAATTTTATTTTACTCATTTGGTTTATTCATTTAATAAAATGGTTCTTTCACATTATTGATATCTAGTAGAAGCATAGTAAATATTTGGTTTAGTCATGCTACCAATAAACACTTCCTTCATTACGATGTATCGACTCGTCGATAGAACTATCTTCCAGATACCTACCTTCTTTATGAAAACGGCATAATTCTAACAGCGTATCATTGTTATCGCAAAATCAGATTAAAAAGGACGCCTGCAAATTCTTGTGCCACATTATTATATAGAAATAACTTACATTGCAAATAAATTACCTTTTTTGCATAGAAACCTCTCATTATTTATTA